TGACAGGGGACAGGGGCTGATTGTGTACGAAGGTCATTTGAAAGGGAGGAGCTGATCTCCCAGCACGTAAGTCTTCATATAGGGGACTGCATATAAATACGGGCATTCCCCTCATCCTGCTCAAAATCCCCTTACTTCTTCATGTTAACTACATCAAAGTTGCATAAATGGAAAACCTTGGGAAGTATTTAATATCTCTAAAAAGATGGAGCAGCAGATAGCATGTATTCCAGCAGCTCTTGAAGACGATCTCTAGACAAACTTTTGCTCTGACCTTGCATTAGAGGAAGAGCTACTGGTACTGCCAAATCAATAGCCTCCATTTTGCTTATGCTTCATTTTCACCATGACCAGAGCTGCTCTGACCTCAGTTCTCAGGTCTTTTGACCCACCAAATTGAATTGCTTTTAATTTTTTTGTAGACAGCCCCCAAAAGCATTGGGTTGGTACTTTACTGATGCAAATGTAGGAGCCAGCAGATAATTCAGTTTGATCTGGTCACAGACTGAGTTATGGCTGGAGGCTATCTATGAATCACTTTTAGCATAAAAAAATATTCTCAAGAAATCCAGCAGCCTCTAACTGGTAATAACTTGAAATTCCATGTGAAGACTTGTCCCAGGCAACTCAACATTTCCCTCAAACACTCAATTTACAGTTTAAAAAGAATCTTCCTTGTGCATGTTCATTTCTGCATATTGAGCCCCAAATATTTTAGTAAACAACCACTGGCAAGGAAGCCCATAGCAAGAACCAATATCTGGAATAATTTCCAGAAAATGAATTTTGTGGTCATACTTTCAGTACTAGAAGAAAGTTTGCTCCATCAGGATGCAAATTATCAAGGCTCTAGTGTATGTCCAGCTCCAAGCTGGAAACTCAATACACTTAGGCTGGGGCCACAAAAGCCTTGACACAGCGACAGTCTTCAGGTGGAGTTTGGATGCGTTAAGGGGATGATGCAGTTGCTGCAATGGAAGAGAGCAGGACGTCCCTCTTGGACCTATAGGTACCACATACCGACCCGCTAGCAGGAACCAGAATACGTTTTGGACACTCCTTGCCTCAACGCCCACTTAAGTTCATTTTCAGTTCAGTGCCCGAAGGCAACAGTCAGGCTGAAATCCCAGGTTCCCTCCTCCTACACAACACTCCTTGCTGTTGCTTACATTGCAATCTCCTTCAGGCTTGCAGCTTGTATACACATCACGGGCTCTGCCGATCACAACAGTGATTTCTAATTCAAACAATGAGAGCTTTTTTTTTTTTTTTTAATTTGTGTGAATTTCCTTTGATACTTAAACAACAGAAAAACAGCAAAACAAAATGAGGCTCTCATCTGAATTACTCAGGAGAATACAGTAAGCTATTCCAGGCTGTCAGATACAATTGTAATTAGGTGCTTTTAGAAGTATAATTTCTATTTTTATCTGTTATTTATTGTGCATGCTATATTTATTGTGCTGAACGTGTTATGCCCCTGACAGACTACTGCAGTTACTGCCTCGGTCCTGTTGCTACACCCATTTTTGAGATTCGGAGGCAAACCAGTTGGATTCTGGCATTTATCTTCTTAGAGCAAATCTTTTTGTCTGGTAGATATGTGGGACTCCTACAGAGACGTTACACTGTGTCATGCTAATCCTCCTTGGTTCATGGATTACTGACCTAATGCACAACGACAGCCCTTTCAGAGCCATCCTCTCGCAGTGGTAATCCGCTGTCACGCGTGCGTGCCGAAGTGCACGACCTCTGCACATCAAACCCACGGTGTCCTCCCTACAAGAACCCCCAAGAACAAGCTGTCCCTGTGCAAAGGCACCCTCAAATTGTACCTACTGCTGAGATAGCTCAGAAAGCCCTCATTGCCTGTAGAAGGATGCATTTCACTCCAGGAGAGCAACACCCTTTCCCTAAAGGGTCTCAAAAACCCATGAAGTTTTCAGGAGAAGAAATTCAGGCCAGCTGCTCGCTCTGTCTTGGGGCAATACAGGTGCACCCCGAAAGTGGAGGTTTGCCCCTCCCTGGGCTGTACAGAGCTATTCTCAAGGCTGCGTTAGCCCCAAGAGCTGAAAGGCAGAGCCACAAGTTCACTTCCCCGCTCCCGTTTCCCAACTGTCATGCCCACTCACCCCTGCCCACGTAGAAAAGAAATACCGGAACAAGGCAATAATTCTTTTCCCTTCCCAAACACCTAACAGGAGTCAAAGCTCTAGCTACCTGGCAGTGTGAATGCAAACACCCCAAAGATTCCTGGTAGATACCAAGAAGCAACCACACAGCTTGTTTAATTAACCAGCCCCTCCACTTCTTCAAATAACCCCCAGATCAATCTTGTGTCCTCAGCTCCCCCCGGCCACACGAATGGCCTGAACTCAGCTGCTGCCATTCATTGCCTGAGCACCCTGCCGTGTATTTAGGCTTGCACTGCTCAGGTGTGGTTAATTCACCCCAATTTCTCATCAGAGAGCACAAAGGAAAGGAAACCTCTCCCAGCTTTTTAGCTAATATCTGCCACCTTCCAAGATGCTGGTGTGTCTCATCCCAAAGAAAAGCCTCCCCTTCAGCTTTCCTGTATGTCTAATTTAGGACTGGAGACAAGAAGAATTTTTGTAGGTCTAGAAAGCTGTAGCACAGAGCTTGCAAGGGGAAGCATCAAAGTTCAGGAAGGGAAAGAAACTGGAGACCCTACGGAGCTGGTTACAATATGGCAAGAATGAGTGACCTTTAGTTAATTATTCTATAGAAACAGTACTGATTCTGCTTATAGAAATACAGAATCGGGTTCATAACAGCACCAGGCAGCCTTCTGCAGAGATCTTCAGCTTGAACCACCCTGCCAGAAGCTCCTGACCTACAACCCAGCTTCTAAAGAACAAAGACCTTTGCTATATCTGCTCCTCCATGAGCTAAGAGGCTGCTAAGTGCTGCTTTCCAAAAGGAAAACCAGGTTTGCAGACCCAGAGCCCCTGGCTGACCTGCCCCCAAAAGCAGAGCTGTGTCAGGGAGGTGGTTTTATAGCTCCTGTCTGCTGTCCTGGCACAATCTCATAGTGAGAAAAAGCTGCACCTGCAGGGAAACCACAGCCAGGCACTGAGGATAAAGCAAGAATAATATCACCCATTTCACCTTTTACAATCCTATGTTCTGGGTTTTTTGGCTAATGGGGAGAGAGCGGTGCAGTGCCAGCACTGCATTACAGAGAACACCCTTGCTACCACAGGTGGGTCTTGGAAAGTGAAAAAAAGCTGTGGGGTAACACAGAAATTTTCCAAGTTTGTGGACAGTTTTATAATCTGAGATGTTCTGTTGTCTTTGTACGCCGTGTATGCGAGAGTCATGGGAATTTGAAATGGGCAGTAAAATAGTAAAAGACGTATTTTTTTAGTGGTAATATATCAACCCAAGAAGTGAATGAGACTATATAGCAGCTCTTTCTCTCATTCATGATTTTAATATTCTGAAATGCCTACATTTTAGTCTATCTGGCTACAAGCCTTTAAAATGTATGTTTATAAATCCCTGAGAAGAAAGACATAAAATGAAACAAATGACAGCTTTGAATTATAGTTGTGATGAATATTGTCATAATAAATTCTCTCCTCACCCAAAAGAGCGATGAGGGATTCCTTCTGTACCACACCATGTTTTCACAAGTCAAATACAGCCACTTGTTCAATTTATAGCTTGCTTCTGGGCTGAAAGTCTCCAAACATATTACATGAACTCAGCGGTACATGATTCAAAATTATTTGGTTGTGAATATCATGTTTCTAGATAATTTAGGCTGAGATTTTCTGGGTTGTGCAAGGGCTTTTGCTACCCACATCAGAGGAACTGATGTATCTAAATCCTCTGGGCCGTGTGTCAAGCCATAATCTTTTAGAGGTGTTGCTTTACAGCTCGTTTCTACAGCGATAATTGCAAGAGGAAGGGATGCTGAAATGATAGTCAAAACAATGCTTATTGGCGTTGTAATGTATATTAATCACCAATTCCCTACTTCAGCTTGACTTGCTGTTGCTACAAAAGGGGACGACAATTTAAACAACTACTTCTGCAATACTTGGCTATTGCGCACAGCTTTGCTCTGAACAAGATTTTCAGTGAAAAATGAATCCATTTAGACACGATGGCTACACATTTTGCCATATCTTTATTGCACTTTTACCACGTTGCAAACAATTCCACAAAAATGCTGCAAAAGTAAGCCTAGAGCTGCTGAAAGCAGCTTTTTACCCATATATGTATATATTTACACAAAACTATCAAAAGCAAAGTTGAAAAGTAGCAGCTCAGCTATGATAGTCTAGAAAGGTAAGAGCTGCCACCTCCTTATGGACAAATAGTACAACTTGTCATTTTACATCACTTTGTAAAACCAACATTCAAGTATTCCTGTCAATGCACAATTAGTGAAATTCCCCTCCGGTAACCACCGTATTTATTATTATTATAATTATTATTATTTTTTGCCTTTAAAAGTTCATAATGCCTTAACCCTTTAAATGCTGAGTAGCTGGGGAAAAAAGCATTCAATTTAAATAAGATACAGTGGATTAGAGCACTTAAAGGGTTAACACAAAATACTAAGTGGACTGTCACCACAAATAAAGTGTGAGTCACAAAACTATGCCGTCCCTCTTCGTTAGATTTGGTAGG